AATTTTAAACAAATCCAAGGAAATCCAAAATCCAAGGATCACAAATGAGGGAGAAAAGACTAAAGCTTCGAATGAGGAAAACGTTTCCCCAATGTGACAATGTGGCTGCATGTCACGTGCAACTGTGGCCATTTTAGATCTTTTAGTTACCGATTTGAGAGACTAACTCTTAAACGAGATGAGGCTGAATTGTCAAACATTCATCAGCTTAAATAACAAAATAGAAGGAAATGCAGAGCGCGGGCTCTTTGCCCGGGTTCCTCCGAATAGGAACACCTGTCGCACCGTGTTGGACCTCAAAAAGCCATGAATTGTGGGTAATTTCCTTAGAAATTGTCTGCGGAAATGTCTTGTGGAACTTCTGGAAAGTGCTCAAAATATCTGATTTGACAGCGGGACAAAACTAAACCTGCACGAAAAGCACCTCGGAGTGGACGCAGTCTTTTCGCTCGGCCTTTTTAAGTAAAAAGCCACAGTAGAGAGAACCGACGCTTTCTCCCTCTGGAGGCGAACGTTCACCGACGTTCTCCATCGCAGGCTGCGGAGACGAAGGCGACGGGCAGCCTGCAGGTCAACAGGAATCAACAGGCTATTAATACTGCGCTGTGGTCAAGCGTCGGAGAATAAAAAGGATTAATCACCAACACGAGGTCAGGATTTAGACATGGGGGCGCTGATGAATAAGAGCCCTTTCATGGGACTATTTCAATACTTCTATTTAAAGCTACGCCTCTGCTTGTGTACAACTATGAACTATGTTCAACATTGACTCATGAAAATGCATGCAAATAAATGGCAGCCATTTGAATGAAGAGTTTCCTCTTAATTCTTGTCGGCCCGAAGATTCTTTTGACTGACAACTGAGCAAATCTTTGTTAATATATATTTTTTTGACTAATTAAAACCGCCCTAAAGCAATGGAACTGTAGTTTGGAGCATTGATGTTTTTTGTCATCTAGGGTCTTTACATGAAACAGGAAAACGTCCATTTATAGCTCACCTCAGGAACGAGTTCAGGGCTTGTGTGCAATTCAAAATTAGCTGACACAAAGGCTAACTATGTGTGTGTGTGTGTGTGTGCAAGGTTTGTTTGAGAGGGACCGCCTATGCAAAGATAACGCTTTTTGCATTAAGGGCAATCTGCATTTGCATGGTCACTGCCGGCGATTCCAGAGAAAAAGCTCGGAGCGCGTAGGATGTGCAGCTTTCCATCCATCCACGGCGAGCAGCGAGACGCATTCGCTTCAAATGTTTCTAGCACACGATAAAGGAAAGAGTTGAGCGCACACGTTCATAAACACGTACATTCAAAACGACGGCCACAAAGATGCGGTTGAAGACTCATTTTGAAGCAGTGTCAGCAGGGGTGTGACATTAACACATGCCAATTGTGGGCCTTTTTCTTGGAATCGCACGCCTTCGTAACTATTGATAGCGCTTACTGATGCTTTTTGACAGTTATGCGTTCAGTCTGACACAACTCCACTGGCATGCTGAGTCACGTTTCAGTTGGTCTGGGACCTGAACACCTGGCACTTCTACACCCGAGAGGATGCACTCCCACCTTTCGATAATGCTATAATAGACAGGATAGCTAGCCCATGTTAGCGGAACATTCCCTTTGGACTAAAGCCCCGAGTTAACCGCTAACGTTAACAGAGGTTGCATTGAGTGTTAATGCGATGCGGTTAAAATCTAGAGCAAATAAAAGTTGAGGATTTCCGGTGCAGCCTTAAAAATGAATTTATTAATTTACTAATCATTAGAATTGCGTTAATACAAAACCACCACTAAAGTTGTGGTGTTAACTGAGCCCCCCCCCCAAAAAGGGCTTCCCTTGAAGCAACTGCGTATTTAAGAACACTGAAAGGTGTACATGTGTGGAATTGGTGTAATAGATTGCACATCTTACTCCATAACCTCTTTTTCCCCTCATTTAGCAACAGGTTCCAGAAGTGACAGAGACAATATGACCTGCGCTGAGTAAAGTCAATTTCAAAACTCGACAAGTCTAGTTCTTTTCCAGCGAAGCAGCTCAATTAACATCCGACATGTTGCAGGACTTGGTGTGTGTAATTTGTTGTTTTTTGATAAGGTCTATAAGCATTTACTGAAGCCTCCAATGCAACACATTGCACAGCGTAACTTCCAAAAAAAAACAAAAAAAACATGGTCAGCATATCTATGCAGCTCAGGAGCACAATTCGGAGTATTCACAGCTTCTTGCAAGTAACTCCGACGCAAAGGACTCCTGTTAAAGATAAACATGTGCGTCAGCTGACTTCCCAGAAACGAGGCTTTTTTTAAAACAAAGGGGCGGGCTGTTGCTACGGGGAAGTGGAGAGGCCGCCGACCAATTCTAGAAGTAAAAAAAAAAAAAAAACCTTCCTCAAAGCTCAAGTTACAAACTGAAGCAGTTTATGTGGAAAAGGGAGAAATGAATCCAGCAGAACGCTCACATCCCCCATATACCCCCCAAAAAACGTCTGCAAAGAAGTGCTAAACTCATTTAAAGATTGCAAAAGGAATTTAAGTTGACGCTCAATGTAAACAAACTCCACCTTTCCTGTGAACGGGGTTTGGCAGCTGGGATAATATACTTCCTCCAGTACTTGAATGCTGGGTATGTGCGCAAACAATGGAAGCGCTCCTTTAGAACCATCGTGTGACAGGAATGCGCTCAACCAGCTTTGGCCTTTGCATTCAACGTTGTTTTGCTGCAGCTGGAAAAAGCTAAAAACATTCCAGTGAGCCCTGTAGTTTTCTCAAAGGGAACAATGTTGACAAACTTCAAGTTTGTAGTTTCTTTTTTTGCTGGTTAAGACTTCAAGTAAACATCTGTGTCTAATGACAGGACGAACATGCCTGTAAATGTTGTATTAATGGGCCTGTTGACATAATCAACCTCAAGTTCCATTTTCAGAACGACAAACATTCAGGCCTAAAAATGAAGGTTGTTATAAATAGTTGGAAAAAAATTACCCCTCTGCAGATGCAATTTGTGTTATGAAGCAACAGTAAGGCTTTAAAATGATGTAGAAGAGAAAACAATGCACACACGGTGTTGCTCTAATAAGATACCAGCGTCAGGGTTGTTCAAAGACTTGGCGCTTTGCATATTCAGCCCCGAGACACCGACCAGCTTTCTGGACCCCCTCCACCCCCCCCCAAACCTCAATGCACTCGTGTATGCTGCAAACTGCTCTCTGCTGTTGCCTCAGCCGCTATTCCCAACTGCCCGAGCGGCCGGGTCTTAACAATGGGCCGTGTAGCGGGGTAACCACGGCGGCGGGCTGACATCATTAGGCGCAGCCGAGGACACGGGGACGTCTGCTGTGGATCATCACCATGGAGAGGCTCTACTCCTATTTCCACATTAGACCTCGATGAGTGTTTGTCCTGTAACTCGGGACAACGGGAAGATCCAAACAAACAAGGGCGCAGCCGCACTTTATTGCACAGGATTCCTTCCGATTGAGGTTTGTTAGTCCAATATAAACTATATGCTGGACTAAGTGCAATTATTTTATTTCTAGTTGAAATGGCAGCACACCAGTGGAAAGGAACCGAAAAGCCACATCAGGGATGCAAGAGGATCAAAGACCATTAATCCCTGTAATTTTGCACCAGGGAACGATGGAACCAAAACTAAAATACTCTTAAACATCGTACGTCAAATATATCGTATTGCATGAACATGTATTTGTAAGGATATAATATATCTTGACCAAATATGCATCTGTTTGAGTCATCAGTCTCAAGGCAGATTTAGAACTTGCAAAACCACAAAGACGACCGTTCTGCAATTTTGAGGATGTTGTGGAGCAACGTCTACGTTGTGCATCAGCTGTCGTGCACCAGCTCTCAGCAGATAAGACGCCACCATCTAAACTCTGCGGATGCAGCCTCATCGAATTTCTAGGAAACGACAGCCGTCGCTCTGACTCGAGTTGTGGTGTGAACAGACAAAGGCTCTCAAGTGCTGAAGTTTAACTTTAGGGCGAGGGACTCGCTTCAGCCCAACCAGGGTGTGTGTGTGTGAGCATGCATCCTGCCTTCTCAGTAAGACGGTATCAAAATGTCAAGCCATGTAGATTTTATTTCGTCAACCTATACAAATTTGTTAGCTCACAACCATATCTGTGCCATTCATCATTGTCTGCTTTCATTCTCTGTAGGACCAACGGTCAGCTTTGGTGCAGACGACCAGCTCAATCTGGGTCTTCCTCGACTTTCAGTCCTTGTTCCTGCTCTTCCAACAGACTCAGACTTTGCAGGCTGCTGTTAGCCAAAAAGTCCGGCGTGTGCGTGTTTGTGCCTCGTCTCCTAGAGCGAAGTCAACATTTTCAAAACAAGGAAGTAGCGCTACACCCAAGCGCAAATCTCAACCCACTCCCCTCACAAGTTGATGGGTCCTTATAAAGGACCCAGGGGTTACGCAGGTCTTAATGGAAAAAGGCTTCATAACATGCAGCATTCACCACCTGCTTTAGCCTCAGGCTTACTCACAAAAACACCAGACAGGGAACTAGGATATTATTATGAACAAACTGGTAAACATAATGAGGTTAAAATTAAGCAAAAATCAGGTCAACTGACTTCCCCTTACAGTTTTTTTTAATTTGCATATAAACACATTTTTACATTTATTAGAAAAATAAACTTCTGTCATTTAAATAAACCCTAATTGTTTGCAAGTTGACTTGTGTTGGCCAAAATCCTCCCCTTTCCTGGCAACAGCAAACGACGTGTACTTAATTTTCGGCAGGTGTGTACTTATTATCCGGCAGAGGGTGTGTACTTATTTTTCGGCAGAAGGTGCATACTTATTTTTCGGCAGAGGCTGGAAGGGAGCCAGAGAAAGGATGAAAAAAAAAAAACTGCCTGTCAGCAGTCGTTCTTTATATGTCCATCAAAGTCCAATTTCTAAATGTGGAGGAAAGGTCGTCAGGAGGAGAATCCACCAACGTGGAAACGAGTCTCTGAGTGTCCAGATTCACCTGATCAACAGGGCCAGTGTCGCCCCAATACTAGCGAATCCAGCCACAGCCATGAGAGTGTTCCTCACCGCAGACTCTGGGTCTGCTACTCGAAAGAACTCAACGAAGCCAACCTGGAAACCGATAAGCACACGTTAGATATGCAATCTACGGCTCACAGGTCCAGGGTCAGTTGCACAACAGGAGCGGTCGTGTGCATCCCGTGATTCAGCCGTTACTCACCCAGGCGTTGTTTTTGATCAGCCAGTCCCGCTGGTCCGACAGCAGGTAGGCCGAGATCTCCTGCCCCACCAGCTCCACGCAGTTCCCCCGGCCTCGCTCCGCCAGGTGTTGGCACACCACCGCCCCGAAGGCCACCAGGCTGGCGATGCGGCCCCAGTTCGTGGTGCCGTCCGCGAAGAGGCTCGTGGCGACCTCCCGCACGAAACTGGCGTCGTCGCCTCGGTCGTCCAGTGACAATTTGTTCACCATACCTAACGAAAAAAATAAATTAAAACCGGGGTTAGAAACCTGCCGTGGTGTGAGGCACAGTCGTAAATGCCATAAATGGTGTAAAAGCAGAGTAAAATGTCTCCCTACTGGCTAAAACAGGTCATTAAAACAAAGCTAACTGCTACGTGCGGCCGCGACTCGCTCAACGGGGAAACGTCCTCGTCACTACTCACCATTGAATACGTATCTGTGCTTCTCCAAAACGTCGCCCACCACCCTCTTCATGGTGGTGAGCTCCCTGCTCGGGTTCCACTGGGTTTTCGACAGTCCCGTAAATTCTCTCAGGAAGCGGCCGAGGAGTTGCCTCGTGTCGCTCTCCAGAGCCGCGGCCCCCGCCGGGGAGTCGGAGACGTCGGTTTCGCTGTCCGACTCCGGGGTGCACGGCAGCGAGTCGTTGTCGGTGTCCTCGCTGTCCTCCCGCTGCGGTTTTGATGGGTAGCCGTTCGCGGAGTTCACCCCGAGGGCGCTGGGCCGCTTCGGGGTGTCGTTTGTCCCCGCGTTGCCGTTGTGGGAGTCCTTCGCCGAGCCCATTGCGAGCTGTCGCATGGGCGCGACTCCATTTTGAGGGAGAATAATGCAGCTCATGACTCCGGTCATGTTTAACGCGGCCAGTTTCGGTCTCTGAATTATATTCATTTGGATTGGCTTAAAGGTTACGGTTACTTGTGAGTTCTTGAAATTAAATTTGGGGAACGCTGCTAGCCAGTGTCCGGAAAAAAAAAGACTGAGCGAGTCCTCTTATTCTACAGCGTCGACAGAGTCTCCATGGCGGAAGTGAACGTCTTTTGACTCGGCCCTGAAGTAGTCACCAGAATGCGTGCGTGCGTCACGCGTTTACGTCATTGACTTTTCACACGGTTTTTTTCCCCTTCGAATGCTCGGCTTAAAGGCTGCTTTAAAATCGAACAATGAACAATTGCAATGGAATAATACTTGAAGAGAATAATGAAGTCTCCCGAATTGGGAGGATTTTATAGCCAAGAATAAAAATGGAGAATAGAAACAGGACGGCCCAAATATAGGGATTTCCCCAATTCATACCCATGACTACGCGTTCAAAGATATGCAGACCAAGGACGCTAACCGGAAACACTACCCATATCAGGAAAAGATAATAAAATGTGCCTTTTATACTATGACTAGGTGGAGTTTTACAGTCATTTAAATGTCATGTCATGTCTACAATCTAATATATATATATATATATACACATATATTTCCAAGTGGAGTATTACAGTTCCTTATGTGACGAATGATGGAAAAATCCGGAACTCTCCAGTCTCAACCAGAGGTCACGTGTAAGAAGTGAATGATGGTGCTTCCCCCTGGTGGGTGGAAAAGGGAAGTTCCAACTGCAAAAAAACAGCAAATTCTTATTAATGTAAAAGTTTATTTCAAATACTGACAAAATCCTCCCACCTTCTCCCACACAACTGAAACATTCAAAGTACACAGGTACTTTCTGAAGTCTTAAAATCATCCCTCTGTTCTCCAGTCATCCTCTTTTATCATTTAAACCCTTTCGTTGTTTTTTTCCGTGGAAGCAAGGGTGCCTCGGATTTCCCTGCGGTAATCCTGGGCGAGGATGAAATATACTAATCATGGAGTAAGAGAACAAAAAAAAGAAAGAAAGAAACAACAACAAAAAGTTAAAATAAAAGCAGCACAAAAGTACTTCATAGCACACAGCCTGTCATTTCTTTATACATTCTCGCACATGTTTATATAGGTCAACGGGAGACGTCATGTGTGTGGGTTTCCAAACAAACCCTGACATTTCCTCCCGTTGAACCGCTCTGTGCAAAGACAAACATCAAGTAGCGATCAAGAACTCCTGTCCACTGTTGTTTCCTAGAACATGTTTATCCACTCCACTTTCTTTAGGCAATCTTTACGTTATAAAATAATAAAACTGGTGGGCAGTATGATGTTAGGTGATCCGTTTTTTCGTCAGTCAAATTTTGTAGTTACATCGAGGTTTAGTCTCAACGGAATCAACTTTGCCACAAGAGCTATGGGACCCTGAAACGGAGACACTCAGGGAGCTGGAGAGGACAGGGGTTCTTTACAGGGCATCAACGCTAGATTAGCCTTTGACTGAAATCAGCAACATTTACACATATTTTCATATGATACAGATTCACATAGCCTCTGGGATTCACTAAGATGGAGCAGAGGTCATTTTAAACGGAAAAGAGAGACCATTGAATCAGAAAAAAAGTCCAGGCTATGAAAGAGTGAAAAGCAGGTGGGAAACAACAACAAGAAAATAATAGCATTCCCTTCCTGTTGAAGTCTATTTACAAATGGCTAGAACAGAGAAAAAGCAGCGCATTCACACAACCCCATAACAAGCACATATGTACTGGTCCGTTCTCGCTCTACGAACTGCAAAATTTGACACGTTTTTGAAGTTTCAATGAAAAAAAGACAAAAAACAAGAGGTGCGGTTGAGAATGTGTGTGCGCCCGGTCACCTGGCCGACATGACGCAGAGAGGGAAGGTTCCCTGAAGCAGTGACATACGAGGAGGCCGCACGTTTAAAAGTATTCACAGGCCGAAAGCGCTTCAACGGCTGGTACGAGAGCACAGAGTGCAGCGTCCCGCCTGAAGACACCGCGGCGGGAGACGGGTCGGCCCGCTGACACCCCAGAGATCAAAGATCGGTTCGTGTAGTGTGTCGGTTCTACGGGGAGCTGGTAGTAGAAGCAGGTTGTTCACTCCACCTAAGGGAAGCAGCAGTAGTAGTAATCGTCTACTGCATGAAGTGTTTGTGACTATAAAGGGAACCACTATGTCTGACTGTGGTGATACAATATATTCCTGAAAGTGTTAAAACAGGGGAAACCATCTCCAACGCGATGAGAACGCAACGCAAGTTTAACAAGCAGCTTTAGTATGAACTATTATTCCGGCCGGTCCCACTAAGTGTCAGGAAAACACTTTCAACTTCACATGTGAAGGTTAGGACTATTTTTTTTGTCTTTTCACTGGGACTTCTGGGATCGCATGTAGCGGTCTGGGCCAAACACACGTGTTGGCGTGTCCCTTTGAAACGCCAACCTTCAGTGGGGTTTGCATCAGAGCTCTCAAAGACGCCAAGGAAAAAATACATGCTTTTAATGACACTTGATGCGACTCAATAGTGACTCAGCCAGCTCTCGCCGGGGGCGCTATCAGGAGCGTGCACGTGGATTGTTAAGATAGCAAAAGGGAAAGGCAGGAAGTGTGACGGTGGATGATTTAGGGCTCTGTGTGTTTTGACATTTCCTATCTCTAAACCCCACTCCTATTAAAAACAAACCCATGTTTTTGTTACAATCATGCAACATATTGAGACAGACCAGGGAGTGAAGGGAGTCCCGAATTTAAAGAAACACAAGCAGAGAGAATGAATTAAAGACGCGCTGCTTCAAAATCCATGTCTGGCAAAGCTGCAGCGACCGACTGCTTCCGTTTTGTTGGGAAACGCTGGCGAACGATGAGGTGGAGGGAAGCCTCTGTTCGTTTTGCCCGTTTCCCCAAAATAGCGCGAGCGAGCGCTAAAGAGGTCTCGCGTCAGGCAGCAGTCCCCGAATCACATGCATCTCTCCAACCCCGCCCGCTAGAACCAGCCCCCACCTCTGACGGGTGATGGTTCCTAAATCCCTCACACACACATCATACTGGTGTTGTTTATGATGCAAAATGAAACAAAATAAAGAACAAAAAGCTTACTACACAGACTACAAAGTGCATTAACTCACCCCATCGAAACCCCCGCCTGATGACACATCTACAGCGATGCATCTTGGAACACCAAAAAAAACCAAGACATGAGGGAGTCGGTGGAGCAGTGTGCGCGCAGAGGGGGCAGAGTGTGCGTGGTGGGAGGGCAGAGTAGGCTGAGGCCTCACAGGGGGGCCAACTGAAACCTCCGCCCCCTCCCACCCCGCCCCGCCCACATACAAGCAAATGGAGCATCAACTCAAACAACTCTGCCCGACGTGTTAAAGCCAGTCGTGCCTGGGGGATGAAAAGGGGAAGGGACTTAGGGAGGGACACGGGTGAGGAGCAGGGAGCCCCAGGGGGAGGTGAGGATGCTTCTAGGATGATGGAGGCTAGCCGGCTAGCTTGCTCGTCACCAAGGAGGACTTCCGCTGGGGCAGGTCCTGCGGCGTGGGGATGTGGTCGCCGGTCACCAGGTTCTTGTCGGGCCCCGCCACGGGGAGCTTCTTCATCTTGGCTTTGGCCATGTTGTAGTCGCCCGAGTCAAAGTACTTTTGCTGTGTGAGAGAAAAGATGAGATGCGTGATCGCAGCTTTAGAGACATGCAGAGAGAAGGGAGCTGTGGCGTCTTTAAAGAACACGTACAAAGAGTTGTTTGGATCCATCCTGTTCATACTGGTCCAATGAGGCTTAGATTAGAGGTTAGAGGACACTCGTCCTCTTCCCACCGAGTCCTTCAGATCACGTTTCTGTAACGTAGTGGTTCCCAAACCTTTTCTGTCCAGCCCCCCTATGACGCTATAGGAACATTGATGGTCCTCCGCACCTCTCATGGGTCATACCTTCTTTGTTTTGCATGAATTGCATTATAATATATAAACTCTATAAAATATTTGTTTTCTTGCTAAAATAAGTACATATTCACATTACACAAGTTCAAATTATTATGTCCACATAATCCGGGTGGGGGGTTTCCAAATGTCCTGCCAATTTAGTTGGCCTCATACGGTCATAATGTATTTTAAGTACACACCGATCTCTCCTCTTGGCCGTAGTGCTTGTAAAGACCGGGGCTGTTATTTCTTGTACATTAATGTTTACTTCTTAGGCTATACCGTATGAGATAGGGCACTATCTTTACAACTTGTTTGCAATTGTATTTGCAATAACTTTATTTGATATTGTTTTAGCAGTCTGTGTGGTTTGGTGAAAACATTAAAAATGGATTTATTCCCCTTTTAATGTTTATTTCTGATTATCTTTAGTCTACTAGGTAGACTGCCCTCAGTTCACTGTGGCCCTTTAGTGAATCTGGAGTAACATAATCAGGATTTTTTTAGGTTGTCTCTGACCATGTAATGAATAAATGCCGGCCTCTTACCCCTTTCTGTAGCCTCTTCATGAGGAAGTCTGAGCCGCCGGGCTTCTGGCCCATGGCGGGGTACTTTGCCTTCAGCTTGGCCTCCTCTGCCTTTACAGGGTTTGCATTCTTCTCCTGGGAGTCCTGTGGAGACCAGAACAAGCGGACATCAACACTCGTCCTCTGAAGAAAACAGGGCGGACCCTTCTCAACCAATAAATGTCCATGCACATCTGGAACAGCTGTGACAAGACACTCAGTCATGGTCAAGCAGCAATTTCAAAATTGCTGCTCCCACCGAACAGCGGGATTCCTGAACTAAAGCCTACCGTAATTAACAAAAAGGCCTCTTCGCTCTTCTTGGAAACCTCTTCTATGAAGTGCTGTAAAAAATTTATATGACAGACTGCCGTGAGCTGAAGCCACTTCAAGAGAGCATGAGTCACACCCAGAGTACTTTACTACATTTTATTGTGGGGTCTGAGATCAGCAAACAATAAGCTGACAAAGCTCCACGGTGTTCTACAACACCAGGATTGGGTTTCAGAAGTCCTGCACTGGTCAGATACCAGTTGTTGAAGTCTCTGTCAGACAGGCATCCAGGTCAGTTATTTGGGCCACCAGGGCACAGCTTGTTTGTGTACAGAGCAAGAGTCACGTCTTCTGGCTGCAAACGAAACTGTCTCAGGAAAGAGTCGGTGCGCACGGAGGATCACAGCGGCCAAAGGCCGTTTCTGCACACGAGCCAGCAGCACACGGCTTATTAGACATGCTTCCACTGTGGAGACAAGTTAGGGCCCTCAGCCTGCAAAGCTTGCTGGGACAGGGATAGAATGTGACTCAGGACACAAAGGCTGATGAGGAGGGAGTGAGGGGGGGGGGGGGGGGTGGATCTGGGCTGATTCACTTGGGCCTATGTGGTGAAATTTCTGAGCTACAATATACGGCCATTGTGGGGAAACTGCAGAAACAGGTTCTCCTTGCAACGTTTTAACAGATCTGTGAACTGTGTCTGCTTGTCGTATCACACCCCAACGATTGCAGAACCTATTTAGTAGGATTCATAACAAATACATACAAAAATGTGTAATCTAAAGACACAAATCTTCATTATACATTTGGTATCTTTTCAAACACGACTGAATGTTGTTGAGTACAATAAATATGCATGCAAATTAAGTTAAATTATGATTATTAACAACTGCTAGATCAGATTTCTCTGGAAACTATTGCTCAAGTTTATGATATGGTTGTTGCTGTGTAATAGATACTGTGATGTAAACATTATGACCGCCAACAGACCAAAGCAGGGTAAAAAAAAGCCTTCAAAGCTGAGAAAAAAATCATCACACCAGATGCATGTCCTGACGACACTCAGGTGTCAACCCGTTGGACCATCAGCACGCCAGTGCCGTTGTTGTGGTACCATATGGACCACATGCACTGCACCTGTCGTCACTGTCAGGAGAACCCCATCAGGGTCATCCAGCCATGTGCACGTCGGGACGAACGAGCACAGTCACGTTTCTCCAAAAGCGTGTGGCATGTAAAACCACCAAAACATGTCTTCATCTGGACACGGTCGGGTCCTGCGTGACATGTACCGAGACCCTCCAGGACGGACCAATGAGGCCGCAAGCTGCTGGGGACTCGCCAGCCAATGACACCGAGGCAAGGGGCAAAACAAAGTGACGGACTGGCAGGGGTGCGTTGTAAAGTGGGACGGCTTTGATACAAAAACAAACATAACATTTTGAAAAGACCAAATGGATCCCCCCCACCTCCATGTCTCACCGGAGTCCTGCCTTGCCCTTGTGCAGAAGCGCGCAGCATACACACACACTCCACTTGTGCTAGCTAGCTGACGTTAGCCCCTTCTAGCTCGTATGCTCGGGTGGTTAGCTAACAACGTTAAGACAGCAGTGAGAGAACCCACCTGTTTTTCGTCCTCGTAGTCCACCTGAGTGTCCGAGTCCAGGTTTTCTGACGACATGGTGCGAGTGTGATGGACAAGCAGAGTGTCCCGTAGGGGCAGAGATGAAGGAACGAGCTCCCGTTTTGGTGTACCTGTACTGGTTCTAATCCGCCTATTCTGGACACGACTGCTCCCCAACAAAAATGGCGTAGGGAGCTGTGACATCATCAACGTGTGTGTGTGTGGGGCGGAGGATGTTCCTACTTCTAACCGACATGTACAGTAACCAATGGGAGAGCAGTGATAGTTCAAGTGAAGCCAATGGCATGTGAGTAATAGAGGCATTCTCTATGATTGACATCCCTTCGCCCAATGATTTTACGACTAAGTGGAGCCTGCGGGCATTACGGGGAAACGCACTGCATAAACAAAATGCACCTGTAACATGTTTATTCTATGATTATAAGTTCATATACTCCGCGTAACATGAAATAATACATCAAAATTAGTTAAAAATAAGAATCGGAAGTATTGTTATTATCTACATAAATGTATTTTTTTTTTACAAGCTCCGTGTCTGTAACTGTCGGTTGCTGGCCGTCAATCAAATAATTAGCGGGAACCGTTGTGCGACGCGAACACCGGTGAAAACCGACCGTTAGCGGCAACGTTACGTAACGTTAGCTTACAAAACCTTAATAAAAAGTCGTACTCGTTGAGTTACATTGTCGTTTTGGTGAACTAGTCTTTCATCCGTTGCCATGTAAGTAACAGTAAAATCTTAGTGTGTCGGAAACAGTTGTAAGACCGAGATAATTAACCTATCGTTAGTTAAAACAGTAACGTAGTGGTAATAAACTAACGTTTAGTTAACGTTAGCTAACTAGCCACAACGACCCCTACGGGCGACGTTCATCCGCCTCACACTGTTTATCTCTCTGGTTTTCTTTCTTTTATGCAGCTTTGATATTTTATCCTCTCACCACCGCAATGGCCTGCATGCAGCAAGTCACCACATCCCAGGTAGAGTCTCCCCAAAAATTACAAATGATGATTAATGATGTTAATTACATACAGCGTTTTGAGCCATAACGTTAGCTAACTAGCACAGGCTAGGCCGGCGAGCAAGTTAGCTTAAGTGCTTTTAATGCTAACTTACTGTAATGCTGTTACCTCACAACATTATTTAGTAGTAGTAGTAGTGATTGAACGTGTATGTACAAACTATATTTTCATCCTGCTTCCATAAAGCAGATACTGCCGTTAGTTGGTTTGCGGATGAAATTCGGGATATTCTTGTGCTTTCACTTATGCTTTGTGTCTTTTTTAATTTATTTTAATGTTGTTGCCGAAAACTAATTGAATAGTCTAAAAATCACACATAAAATATGATGACCCACACCAGCATTTACAAGTCTTTAAAAAACGACCATATGACGAAATGTGTATCATTGACATTGATTGATATATATTTGAAGGGGGACGTGTAAGTAGACTTTGTGATGTTACTCTGATGTGAGACGCTCAGCAGTTTCCCAACCAGGTCGTCCCCGAGCAGCAGTCCCTGGTTGTCATGAAGAAGCTTCTGGCCATCGCCGTGTCCGGCATCACATACCTCCGGGGGATTTTCCCAGACAAAGCCTACGGCAGTAAATATCTCGCAGGTTAGAAAGGCCCATTGAAATGTCATTAACGGTCGATTTGCCGTTTGTAAATATTTACATCGAGATTTTCTTCCTCCCTCCAGGTCAGAAAGTGATGATCCTCAGAGAGGAGCGCAGCTGTCCCGGTGCCAGTCAGATTGTCCAATGGTGAATAACAACCATTTGAGTGTCCACAGCCCATATGTGTCACAGACAACAAGGTGTGTGTTATTTATTTTGTTTTCCAGGATGACGGGATGTTTTGAGGCAATCCAGAAGAATTATGTAAGTCACATTCAACTTGTACTGGTACGCGACTCCTTATTCGTATTTTCTTGTCCTGGTCCAAGTTACTGTTCATTTTTTCCCCCACCAGCTGCGGACCGTCATAATGTCTGTGAGTATTTTGTTAATAACTTCTTGTGTGTGGACTTTATGAACGTTCCATTGGGATGTCAGAGAGGCAAAGAGATAAGCGTGCAGATGATTAATTTAATAGTTGCTTAATGTTTCTTAATCCCCTCGTCCTTTTTTTGTTTTTTTAGATCTACACTGACCCAGATAACCCTCAGGTAATGTATAGGCTAAACTATTTTACCCATAACAAACTACTGTATTAATAGGATCATTGCATATCCCATATACACACCTGTCTTTCAGAAAGTGACTGAGTGTTACCAGTTTAGGATCCAATACACAGCCGAAGGAGCTCAGATGGACTTTGAAAGGTGGGTTTTCCAATTTTCATGAGTAGATCATAACACAAAAAATTGATACAGTCATACTCATGCAAGAAACATAAGGAAACACAAAGTTATAATCAGCTCTGGCTTTGAATTTGTAGTCACAGAGCTGGAAGTAAATTGATTTTCTTTCTAATCAGTGGCTTAATTAACTCCACGCCTGACAGAAATATCTGTCAACACTATCAGATAAGAGCACCAAAAACACTTCAAATCTGTCAGCATGGCTTGTCATGCCAGCGACCTGTCAATCGCAGTAAGCCCCGCCCTCCTTTATGGTCTATTCGACTAAATGGACCATCATTTTCTAAATGAACGTCAGGGCTGTATTGAAGAAGAGCTTGAAGTAGAGGTTGAGACCATAAACCGATGTTTAGAATGTTTACTGAGGGAATAAATCAAGAGAGAAGTAGAGTGGTCATGTTTTAGCTGCATGAGGCTGATGGCGAGTGCATCTCGTTTCTCATCCTGCCGCCTTTCTTCAGCAGCAACAACGACAACAAGGTGTCGTCGATGCCATGCAACGACACAAAGAAGGCCAGCATCCTGCTGGTGAGGAAGCTCTACACGCTGATGCAGAACCTGGGTCCTTTGCCAGACCACATCTGCCTCAACATGAAGCTGGATTATTACGAAAACGGTAACTCGCAGTGGTCACGATTTCAACAAGTGTGAGTTCAATCGAGCCACGTTTAATACAACAACGTTGTCATTTTGTGAGCTGTAGCTTTAAACTCTGAAAGCTTTTATGCTTCAGTGTTACATTATTCAACTGATGCTCCAGTCCGACGTATCCTCAGAGTTGGTGGTAACTGAAGCTTAAAGCTTCTCTCCTAATGTGGAGACACGCTCATCGTTTTTGCCTTATTGTAAATATCAACAACCCAATATGTAGTTATGATAAATAATTGTAACACATTCATTAAGGGGGGAAAATAACTTGTTCTTCTGTCTTTTTGCATTATTTTGAGATTTTACAAATGTGTTTCTGTCCATAACATTGAAACTTCTTTTGTTCATCAGAAGCACCAAGAATCATATTCTCCTTAAATTAAAAAGGCTCATCTCCACGTTGCTGCATCGTCACCAGTTTCTGTTGAAATGTTACCTATTTGTTGCAATGACCAGGAAGCGCACACGGACAAACGCGCTTCCCTCGTGTGCGATATGGAGGGTTGTGATCGATGAGCCATTTTGTTTGTCTCACGGCTTGTCCATCCATCCTCCAGTCACCCCTCAGGACTACCAGCCGCCCGGCTTCAAGGAGGCCGACAGCGACACCCTGGAGTTTGGGAAAGAGATGGTGGAGCTCACCATGGGCCAGGTGGCCACTCCCTTCCACTCTCTGAAGGTGGACATGTCCACAGAGAGACACCGGCTGGAGCAGGTGATTGAGACGAAGCTCGAGACAGGGGCAGAAATACAAATTTATATCAAATAACTTTGAGATGTTTTCTCTAATAAATATGTTTGTTGAGCTTATTACTCCATGTTGTTTTTCATGTGCCAACCAACAATGCAGTCAGCACAGCTGGAAGCCAATTTGTGATTGACGGCTGTGCTTGTTGTTAAATGTCTTCAGGTGGAGGCAAGTGTTCGTGTGACGGAGGAGTGGCTCCTGAAGAGGGAGGAGATGGGAATACAAACAGTTCACATTCAGCAGGACGAAGGGACCGGAAAAAGCCCCCAAATAAATTATGACCCAAGTCGGTTTGGGGAATTGAAGATATAATGTTCTTTAACTTTAAAATCATACCAAGAGTGAATACCAAGAGTTCAGTTAAGCATTTTAGGAGATGTGCTCTACATCAACGTTTCTTTAAGATCATGAACCCAGAGCTGGAAATGATTCAATAAAACCAAAAGATAAGGTCAAAGATCGCGCTGGTTGGACTGACATCTGAAAATGAAGAAGGTTTGGGTGTGGCTCACCGTGACTCACAAGCGCACACCCTGCTGCTTTCCTTAAATGTTTTAACAAAGACCAAACCGTTGCAAAGATGAAGGACATGTTGCTTCTCTGTGATCGTGGCGTCCAGATGACATGTTTTCATCTTCAGGCTCATGTGATTGAAGACGTGGAGAAGTCCGACAGCGAGGACGGCAACTTGGACAACACTGGTAAATCCGGTGTGTATGATTGTTTGTGTCTCCTAAAATGCATTTTGAAGTTGTCTGTTCGTATTCATCTCTCTGAACTGTCTCCATCTGGTTGATTTCACCTCATTTACATCAGAAGTTATCGTACGTAGATACTTATTTGCCAGAAATAATTGTAATTGATATAATATATTATAATAATAATTCATATCATTGACTTAAGAAACTATGTGAACGTCATTGTTTGTTTTTTTCATGAACTGAAGTGATTCAGCTGAGCATTCATGAGAAGACGGAGAGCTGGGAGAAAGCCACAGAGGTATCTTTGACTTTTTCAAGCGTCCGCTGCAGAAGGCATGAGTCATACATAGTCATATTGTTCCCCGTGTCATGGAAAACAAAGAGAAAAACAAGCAATTGTGCCATTATTGTGACGGGGCGGGACAGTTTCTGGCACATCTGGAAAAGTGTATTCATTAAATAGAGAGACAGTTACTCATGCAGATAGCAGACACAACAATGCGAACATGTGGGACAGTGTAATATTGGTGTGATTGATTTATTGTGTATATGTGTTGTTTTTCACAACAACCAGTTATTAAAAATAGGATAGAATCGTTCCTGTGCAGAATGACTGAAGTTTGTACGCCGTTACAAAAAGTTACTGTCCGTCTGTCCTCTCTCAGATGGACACCGAGGAGAAGAAGTCCCCCGGCGTGGACAAAACCAGGAGGACCAGGAGCGGGCGCAACATCCAGTCCGTGAAGGTCAGTCAGCCAACGGCCAATCAGAATTCATCCCTGTTAAACGGCTGTTTGTGCAATTGCATATGATGAATTACTCGTGTTATTTAAAATCATGTTTGCATCCAGCTGTCGCAGCACGAGCATCATCATAAGGAATAAATGATTCGCGTAATGTAGCTTAAAATGTTGGTGAAAAACGATACTAAATCATCAGAGAAATGAAAAGTATAGAAGAGAAGCTCATTAGCACAGCAGATGATGATTTGTGTGTACGAGACAAGCCGAACGGTGAACAAATGAGATGTGAATAATACATGAAGCGTAACGCGGCAGGCCGGTAACACGGAACCGTTACATGAGAAGCGTTCGTTTCTGCCGATGAGTCAGCTCATCAGCTTCGCTTTCGGTCGGAGTGGGAAGTTGTGTCAGTCCGCCGACACAAAACATTCTGCGGTTGGGATTTTATTTATTTTTTTACCAGTCGGGTGTCTCCTCCACTGTCCTCAGGTCTCTCAGTACGAAATCCCCAGCAGCCAGGACACGCCGTCCACCTCCGAGGCGAGGAAGAGGCGCAAATTCAGCGAGCCCAAAGAGCGCTTCTGACCCCCCCCCCCCTTCCACGCCGCGCTGATGTACCCGTTTTACATTGCATGTTTTTTAAAAGTCTGTTTTGACGACGCCGTAAGTTACACAGCCGTTGGTCTTTTTAAAGGGAATCTCGCTCCTTGTTGCTTTTTTTGTTGCAGTTGTTTGCTCTGTAGTTCATTTGAATAGAAGCCTAATCTGAGACGGTGGTCTGGTTTTGGAGTCCGACGGCTGATGAACAAACATATTCATTATTAGTTTGTTTTACTGTTCCTCATTTACTAACCAGGACTTTTACAACAAAGGTCACTTAAAGGCTTAAATTCGAGGGAGCTTGATGTGTGTTTCTGCCAATGAACACAATGTCTGTGCAGCAGGTTGCTGCCGTCTCTGACTTGTCATTGATGAGTTTGGCAGTTAGTTTGGAGGAAATGATTATACCTCTTTTACCCGGAATTTGGAGAATGAACGCTTGTTGTAATGCACGCATCGCCTTATCTAATAAAGATAAATAAAAAGATATATGACATTGGACAATATCAACATGGGATATGTTGATATAACCATCATTTCCATCAGTTTTTGACTGAAATGTATAAATTACTGTATATAGATATTTGTTATTTCAGCAGTTTCTTTGTAGTTCATGGAGAATTTTCTTATTACCACAAACCACAAACTATTTCGTCGAAGTTGATGGAGCTCAATTTGAGCTCTATTTTATGTGTGAGCGCTTCTGCAAACAGTCGTATCACTGCGGTTACGAGCAGTCCGTTAGGAGTCGGCAGGCAGTCGATGGCAGTATAAAGTGGACAGACACAAATATGCACACACACACACCCCACACACACACACGCTCCAGTGGCATGATCATCCTGGCAGAGATGATGATAAGTAATAATAATAATTCATTATTACACCCCCCTTTTTTTATAAAAAATGAATAAATAATTAATTCTTATTTTGATGTTTGTGTCACGCTGCTCCCAAAACAGTGACCCGGTTAATGCCGAATATAATTCAAAATAAAAGTATCAGTTTGGTCAAACTTCCTGGTCATCATTTAACGGATGAGTGATCTGTCTTGAGTACTGTGGTTTCAAAGAGGCCTGGTCTGTTCCTACTTCTCCACATGCCTCACTAACGGGGGATCAAAAGAGCAGTTTGCAGAGAGCACAGTCCTCTATGACTCATATTTTTATAGCTGTTCGCTAAGGAAGCTGTAGATGCACTCATTGAGTCTGAAACCTTCGCTGCAGGAGTCGCTGTGTCCAATTTCTTTAAAATGTTATTCTGACCGGAATATGTGCAGATAATTTATTAGGAATAACCCGAGATGTAGCATCTTGTTCTTGACGAGGTTCTAAATAACGATTAGACAAAACATTAAAAGAAAAAATACAAAATGATATAATGATGTCAAATAATAAGATGCACAAAATGAGGAGCACAGAGCATGACGTGAGTACATGAGTCATCGAGCTGAAGTCAACTGGGACGTCAGACGCCGGCCTGCACTCAGTAAATACAGTCGTCTTCGCCCTCGTATAGATTTAACGGTTTCAGCGACCTGCCAGTAAAGGATGAACAGCCCTCCGAGGACGGGAAGCTCAACTGCTGCTGCCCTAAAAAAAAGGAAGAGAAAAGGCCTCCGTCTTCTACTCGGCCCAGGAAATGCCACACATTTGCATGCGGGGTACCTTAAATAAAGCTGTTAAGTGAAAGTGGATTATATCTGTACACACTGACCTTTGGGCTCAGATGAGCTCCCCCTCCCATCCCTCACCCCTCCTCCCCACCATCAGCAGCCTCCCAAGCTGTGTGTTTTTAATCTCCCATTGTTTTTCCCAGAGAGAGGGACATTTGCTGATAGACTGCCTTAACCCACTGCGGATCGATACTGCAGGAAGCCTTTGTGATGCATATCCAAGCAGCCCCCACCGGGGGAGGGAGGGGGGGGGACGAGAGACTCCATCAAATCAGCCCTCACTTCCTCAGACAGGGCATTGTCTCGGCCGCCGCCGCGTTCATTTCGCGTCTGTGCGTTCGCTTTATGGGTATTTCTGATAACAGAATGGACTGTGATACGCACAGTCACACACACAGTCACACACACAGTCACACACACTGTCACACACACTCTCACACACACTGTCACACACTAGCACGCATTGACAGCGCTTTATGAGCTGTGAAATGAATCAGGGTTACCTCACCTCCTCACCGTCCAGCCTCCACTGGCATTTTTCAGCACTTTTCTTTTTTTTTTAATCTTGATGACAGATGGGGGGGGGGGGTCTCTAGGTGTCGATGCGTGGTGAAAATGCACTGAGGACAAAGGCCCCGTTTGCAGGCCTCGTCATGTATTGTAGAGAGGTGATATCTCGGCCGTAGAGTGAAAGACGAGAGAACAGAATCAGACACTTGGATATGGGCCACTTTTAAATCACGAAAACAACATGTTTGAGCGGTAGACCATGTGTTCACGTTGATCACGTTCCATATCTCTGAGAGAAGGGGGGGTTGGGGGGGTAGAGGCATCTAAATTGGAGTTTTATTCGACCCGGAGCTCCGATCCCTGGGACTCTACATCATTTCTGTACACACACGTCTCCCTGAAATGAATTCTGAAATTAAATTCAGGGACACACGTCCAGCGGTCAGTGTTGACAGATCAATCAGCTGGCCAAACAGCAGGGGGGGCGGGGGGGCGGACGCCCCCTATAGACCAATCAGATAGCTCGGGGTCCACGGCAGGCCCTGGATGCGGTCAAGGCGAGACCTCCTGACAGACAGTCCGAGGCGCCGTAGATTAAAGCCGGCTTCTGTGAGCCTATAGTGGCGCCTCTGTGATTGTGCCTGCAGGGCCTATTGGGCCCCCAGGGTGGGGTCGGGGGTGGAGGGGCCGAGGGGTGGAGCTCAGTGGACGTCCAGCCCAGGGACTGTGACCCCTCTGACCTTGCCAGAAGGGCAGCAAATGTTTCCGAGCTGATTAGCGCTTCCCCAGCAGAGTTAACCCTTTGGAATCAGGCAGAGGCCCCTGAAAACACCCCCTGAAATCCAGGAAGTGTGTCACTCAAATGAAAGATAGAGGCAGTCCTGTTAAAACAAGCATGGGGGCAATTTAAGATTTACGTTGAACTGTAGTATTTAAGTTTTACTTTTGCTTTTCTGCATTTTAGAGGGTTTTTTATCTCGTTTGGCAGCTACAGTAACTCGGCAGGTCATACTTTTCACATATATTACGGTAACGCTGTGGAAGCGTCGATGAGCACTTCAAAAAGAGATGAATAGGATGTTAAAATCAATTTACGAAAGATACGAAATAATGGATTCAAACAGAGAGGAGAACAGCTAATCTATTTGCATATGCGGCACAATTCAAAGTATGAATTCTGTCTAAGAGACCATGTGTTTACACGGAGAGCAACAACACGACCTGTGAAAGCAGGTGGAAGAATTCACAAGCAGCGATGGAATATCCTGATGGCCACAGGGGGGCGATGAGGAGCCACGGAAACGAGCTGCGTGTCACAACCGAGATAGAAAGAGAGAGAGAGAGAGCATCTCCCCCACCTCCCCCCCGCGGCCCCCCCATGCCTTAGTCAGCTCGTACAGTTGGCCTCCGCACTGTACACAATTTAAAAAGCACGCGGTCCCCACTAAACAGCCAACGCGGGGTTATTCAACTCGTCTTTGGAGAGACAACACGCTGGAGTCAACAGTATTGATCCAAATACGTGGATGATAAAAAAAGGAGTGTGTGTGTGTGTGTGTGTGTGTTGGGGTGGGGGGGTCTCAAGAGCAGGTGGCACTGGGCCTGCGGATTCAGGGGTTTAGCCGCTCTCCGGGTCTGTATGGTCAGCGGTGCCGAGCACCCACCACCAAGCAGATGCTCGGAGCAATGGGATGTGCCCCGTCGTGATCAGAGTGGACAGCTGAATTGTTTACCTCCAAAGGGCGCTTTTCTTCTCCAGCGGCAGGCCCCGCGCGCACAATGGGGGCCCCCACCGCAAATGAGGACACAGGATTTCTGCGGAGGTGATGGGGGGTGGGGG